GAATTCAGGTTTCTTTCAATCAATTCAGGACTCTTTTCTCAGTGGTTCTCAAAGTGCAGCAGCCCGATTAGCAGCAGCAGTATCACTTGGAAACTTCTTAGAAGCTCAACTTCTCAGGTCCTTTCTTACAACTTCTGCATCTGAAACTCTGGAAGTGGGGCCTGGCAGATCTATGTTTTACTGAGCCCTCCTGGGGACTCACTGAAGTTTGAAAACCATTGCTCAATATCACACTTCTCATAGCTAAAGAATACCTGACACCACAGCTGTCCCACATTAGGCTTCTTTGTGTCCCCATAAACCTACTGCCTAGTTAATAATAGGTGGTATTTTTTTTCCCAACCAGTACTCACTGAGGCTCCAGACATACCACTGCTCAAATTTTTTCAATTCCAGTTTCAGAAACTAAAGCAAGGGGAAGAAACAAATATAAATAGGAGATTCTGTGATTACAACTATCATTTTTAAAACAGCTAATATTATTGAGTACCTCCTATGTACTTTCTATGCATTATCTCATTTAACCCTCCTTACAGCCTAATGGGTTAGGTACTCTGTTCCCATTTTATAGATGAAGAGACTGAGGCATGGAGAGGTTAAGTAACTTACCCAAGGTCACACAGCTAAAAAGTAGCAGAGCTGGGATTTAAATCCAGGTAGTCATGTTCCAGAGCCTGCTTTTTTTTTTAAAGATATAACTGACATAAACATTGTGAAAGTTTAAAGTGTACAATGTGTTGGCTTGATACATTTATATACTGCAACTGATTACCACCAAAGTGTTAGCTAACACCTCTATCACACAATTTACCACATAATTAATAAGTCACATAATTATTTCTTTTTTTATGGTGAGAACAATTAAGATCTAGTCTCTTAGCAACTTCAAAGTTTTGTTGACTATAATCCCTATGCTGTTTATTACACCTCCAGGATTTATTGCTTACCTACTAGTTGCAAGTTTCCACGTGGTACATATTGCCTCCTATCTTCCTAGGTCTTCACACAAGGACTATCTGATGTATTAAGTAGATTGGGCTCTTATGAATAACTGGGAGAACTTAAAAGGATGTTTAATTCCATCAAGTTACCATATGATCCAGCAATTCCACTACTATATATACTCAAGAGAATGGGAGACATACATCCACACAAAAACCTGCCTGTGAATTTCATTGCATTATTCATAAAAGCCCAAAAGTGAAAACAACCCAAATGTCCACTAACTGTTTAATGGATAAACAAAATGAGGTATATCCACACAACAGAATATTATTTAGCCATGAAGGAATGAAATACTGATGAAATATTGATATATGATACATGATGATCCCTGAAAGCATACTTAATAAATGAAACCAAAAAAGCTCTCATATCACATTATTCCACTTATATGAAATGTCCAGAGTAGGTAAATCTATATAAACAGAAAGATTAGTGGTTGCCAGGGGCAGAGGGTAGGGAGTAACTACTAATAGATAGGGTTTTCTTTTTAGGGTGATAAAAATGTTCTGAAATTGGCCCTCCGTGAGTTGACTGCCGGCCTGTGAACTGAAAGGTCACCAGTTTGATTCTCAGTCAGAGCACATGCCTGGGTTATAGGCCAGGTTCCCAGCTAGGGTAATGCAAGAGGCAACTAATCAATGTATTTCTTGCACATCGGTATTTCTCTCCTTCCCTTTCTCCCTTCCTTCCCCTGTCTCTGAAAATAAATGAATAAATAAAGATGTTCTGAAATTAGTGCTAATGGTTATACAAAACCATCTATATTCTAGATGAATATACTAAATATCTACTGAACAGTGGGTGAATTTTTGGGGGTGTGACTTATATCTCAATAAAGCTGGGTTTTTTTTAAGATATTTAATTCATTATGAACTTGGGCTTTTTTAGTAAATAAAATTCCTATTTCTTGTCAGTAAAGTGCTAGATCATGATCAAAGAAACTGAAAGTAACCTGCCATCGCTTTGAATTTTTACCTTTCAGTTTGCAAAAAAGGGTAAACTACTTTCACTTCTACACTGTAATGGATCTAGACACAGTCATCTATGTCATTTTACCACCTAGAAGAAAGTTTTTCTTTTATTCTTTAAGATCTAAAGAATATAAATGCAAAAATTCTATTATTAGGAAAATGCCTAAAGCACTTACTACCTGGAAGTAAGGAACCAGGGGCTCCTGGGGCTTCCCTGTTAAAGCACACAACTAACACTACATCCCTTCAACAAGCAAGTACTAAAAACAAGTTGAATTGTGGCAACATTTTAATGCCTTAAGATAGATAAACAATGAACATAAATACCTACATAAATACATACCTGAACGTAAGTACATATCTGAACATACCTTATGTTTCTACATACCTGAATATAAGTATGGGGTAAGGATCTGAGAAACATTCTTTTAAATGTTTACTTGCTCTAATATAACAGTAATACTAATAACTAGTACTTATTGAGAATAAACACTATTCTTGGCTCTTTACAAATAGGTGGTTTAATTCAGTCTTCATAGTAACCCTCAGGAAAGTATTTTAATCCTTATTTCACAGAGAAGGAAATTAAGCAAATAATTTGTCCTTGATCACTCAGGTAGGAGAGTTCAAATAAAAACCCCAAACAACAAGTGTTGGTGAGGATGTAGAGAAAGGGGAATGCTTTCGCACTGTTGGTGGGAATGCAGACTGGTGCAGCCACTGTGGAAAGTAGTATGAGGATCCCTCAAAAAATTAAAAACAGATCTGTCTTTTGACCCAGCGATCCCACTTCGGGAATATATCCAAAGGAACTCAAAACACTAATTCCAAAGAACATAAGCAGCCCTGTGTTCACTGCAGAGTTATTTACACTCGCCAAGATATGAATGCAGCCCAAGTTTCCATCAATAGATGAGTGGATAAAACAACTATGGGACATTTACACAATGGAATACTAGTTAGCCTTAAAAAAGAAGAAAATCCTACCCTTTGCAACAGTATGGATGGACCTGGAGAACATTATGCTAAGTGAACTAAGCCAGTCAGAGAAAGACAAATACGATATAATTTTATTCATATGTGGAATCTAATGAAGAAACTGATGTAACAAGCAAAATGAGACACTCACAGATGGAGAGCAGATGACAGCTAGTAGGGGGAGTGGCGGGTGATGGCAGAGGTTAAAGGTAGAGGAATTGAGCAAAAAGGAAAAAAGATTCATGGACAACAGTGTGTGGTGACTGCTAGGGGGAGGGAAGTATTATGGGACTAAATGGTAATGGGAAAAATACAATAAAGATTAAATTTAAAAAAAAACAAAAACAAATAAAAACCCAAGTCATTCTGAACTCAAATGATCTCTTGTCTATCCCTCTATATTCCTCTTCAAAATGAAAAAGGAAGCCAGAAACTTGAAGAAACTTAAGAGACCACCCCTTTCCTATCTTACAAAAGTAGTGCTTTGAAAAGGTGACTGTTCCTATAGTACCAAAGAGGAAATAAAGAAAACAAAAGACTGTCACCAAGAGGGAATACAGAAAACAAGAGATTGTCACCACAGAGGAAATAGAGAAAATGAAAGACTGTTAATAACAACCAGCAGTCATAGTCACAAAATACCATGCCATGCCCCACATCTCACATACTGCTTCCTGATTTAACAGTTTCCCCATTGATTTTGCTTATAACCTTTAGAATGCCAAAATTTAATGATCTCATTATGGAAAACCCCAGAGAACACCAGTTAGTGAGACTGGAGAACTCACTGGACCAGGAAGGAAAAGGAATCAGTTGGCAGGAAGTGGTGTTTATCTAAAAACATAAAAGTCTTTAGCATGAATATTAACACTGTAATTTCACAGTACTTTATTTTGAAGCTATCTCTCATTCCTTTCCATTATTTTAATACTGTTTTACTAAAAGCTGATTCCCACTCTATTCTCCATATTTAATAAGATCCTAAATAAAAAATAAGACTGCTATATAGCCACCACAGACCTTCTTTGTGTTGTGTGTGTGTGTGTGTGAGCGTGTGCATCACAGTTCAATGAATTATCCCAGACTCAATTAGGAAAGGTGACATGTGAGGCACAACCAAACATGAATTTCATCACCAAGTAGAATCTAGCTGGCAGAAATCTTAAATTCACAATTGAAACATGCACTCATCCTTATGCTTCTCAGGACTCTGCCCAAACCAAACTGAAACTGTAAACCAACAACAGATTGATGGATGTGCAATCACTAAGCATATACACACACACACACAAAAGTAGCTTAGAAGGTCTGCTCTCCAAACAATTGAAGAATGAAAAAATTAGTGCATGAAAAATTTGCACAAAAAGAACATGACAAGGCATGGGGGTTAGGAGTCGCTTGGGGTTGAACAAATCCTTAGAAAATGCTTAAGAAATAACCTCGATTCTTGGGTCACCCTGTAATAATTCAAAATAGGTAAAGGTCAACTCAAAATAAAAAAAGGTCAAGCTTGAGAATTTTCCTCCCTTTCCCTGTTCCCCTCGCTGACAGTCCCAAACTCCTCGCAGAGCCTTGTGTGAGTCCAGGAGAAAAGATTCGTTACGTGCTGAGCTGGGGGAGCAAGGGAAGAGGCCATCCTCATGCAAACAACCACCTGTGCATGATGAAGACCCCCATGAGGGAGTTCTGTTTAAAGTGAGAAGCAGCGGTGGGGATGGCCCTCCTAACCCAGGACATACACTGGATACTCACTCAACTCCACTGCCCCTCACACCCGGACTCTGGCCACCTCCCAGCTGAGAGCAGCCGCTCCACAGACCTCGGCTCTCAGACACGGGTCTCTCCCCCAGCCATTGCCAAAGCTCGCTGCCTGCTCCTCTGCCTGACAACTGCCTTGCCACCACCAAGCAGTCCCAACTCCCGCAGCCCAGGTTGGCCAAAATAGCCTCCTGAGGTCGGTGGCGCCCCAGGCCCGTCGGATTTAGTGCTTTGGATCTGGAAGGGTTTGTCCAATCCCCTCTTCCACCCTCAGCGTCCTAGGCTCACCTCCCCGGCAGCTTTGCGCTCCTCTTCCAAAACTGCTTGCTGTTCTCGGCGGCCATTGCTCTTGCCCAGGGAAGGCCTTCTAGGCGGGCCAGGGGGTAACCGGCGAGATGCCCCCAGACCCCGCAACCTGAAGGCCAACCCAGGCCGCTTCCCGGCCGCCGGTCAACGGCTCCCAGATCCTGGAAGCGCCATCTTGGATGTGGGCATTTCCCCCCCAATCCGGAGCCACTGTCATTGGTGGGTTGCCAGGCCGTGGTCGGACGAACCAATCGGGAGCCGGAATCCTGCAGGCCGCTGAAGCCGAACGGTAACGTCAGGGGCTGGGCACACAGGTGGACCGGGAAGGCGGTGCTTGGACAGCAGGGAGGCGGGGCTGGAAGTTCCTCATCCCCGAGAGGGGAAGAAGCAGGTAAACTATCTAAGGGAAGGAGTAAAGGATACTGTTTACTTTGGGCGCGGGGGAGGGAGGGGAAGGAGGTTCTCGCTTCTCATATTTTTTGGAAAGAAAACATATGTATTATATGCATAAATCTTGACCTTCAAGTACGGTCCCATGTGTTGTATGTAGCCCATTTCTAAAATCTCCTAACTCAACTACACTGGTTATTACCCTCTGCTTTCCCTTTCATTGGACCCAGGTTTTTTGTTTGTTTGCTTAGTTGGTTGGGTTTTTTGTTTGTTTGTTTGACATCTGAGAAGTAAGATCAATAGGGATCCTATAGCTCAGGGTCAGTAACTGTTCAACACATGAATAACGGTTGGTTCACGAGAGTCTTTCCCTCCTCTGTTAACTGAACACTGTTGAAGGACTTGTGCTGTGAGTGAAATTCGAACGATTGAATCCGTTTCAACCAATAACTGTGACTTTCTATGAGAACCAGATGCTGACAAACAGCATTTAGGAAATGTTCTTATTTTATTCATCCAATTGAAACTACCAATTAATGTTTCTTGTGAGGACATGATATATCTCCATGTCATAAATCACAAAGATTAGGAATATACCTCCCAAAAGACTTAATTTATCTTATTAATCTATTATAAATCTTTCACTCTTGAATTTATTTTCAGTCCACTTTTGACTCAGAATGAGATTTAATGTGAGCATTTTGAATCCTTTGAATTTCTTGACTGTGGTTTTTTTGTTTTGTTTTGTTTTTTTTGTTTTCTCTCTCTTTTTGAGTTTCTGTGGTTGTGTACCATAGCAATTGGGGGGAGGTCAGGAAGCACACACCAGTCCAGAATAGTTTTAATCCCAACAAGGGACTGTTGAGGTGGGCTTGTTGGCCCCCAACTGCTGTTTACTGCTACCACATGTCCTTTTATATACTGGAGAATACTTAAGGACCACCTGTCTAAAGAACAAACTTTTTTTATATACCCTCCAATGGTCTCTTTCTACACAGACATTACTCCCATTTTCAAGCTTCTTTTGCCCCCCAATTTCACAATCATGGGACTGTATAAGAAGGGCTATTTTTACTTTCGCTGGGCCTTTCAAGCTTTTATAGGCTTTCATCTTATCTTGTCTCAGGTAGTCAACTTTTATGGGCATTTAATCCATCAAATAAGAACCCCTCTTATCCTTTTAATATTATCTTTTTTAAAAATCATTTTAGCTGCCTTTCTTTAAATGCTCTTTTTCTTACAGTGCAGTGACCAGCAATGAACTCCAAGAGGGCTTTCCTGAGGTTTTGTTGAAGCTGACATTTTATCTTTATTCTGGACAGATTGAATTTTTGCTGGCATTTTGGACTTTACAAGAGCTGATATCTTAAAGGAATAATATATAGCGGCTTCTAGATCCCTTTCCTTGGTTGCAACTGGCAGTTCAGAGTTCATTATCTTAAAGGTATCATCTGAGTTGTCTCTCCCTATGTGAGCTGTCTTAACACTTATCTATATGGCAAGTCACCTGTCACTTTCCAGCCTACTCACATAGCTTTAGAAATGTTCCAGAAGAACTCCCTATTAACATGTTACTTCACATGTGGAAAGCAGAGTATAATTTGTGTATCCAGAAGTGTCTCAGTGTTCCTTTTTTTTTTAATTGTTTATGAAATGTTAAGTAACACGAATCTCCTAGGGATGTTGTTTACATTGTTCAACCCAAAGAAGCTCTATTATTCCTATTCTTTGTTCTCTGTATCTAAGCCAGTTAACCATCCAAAATTTAAAAACTTCACTCCAGTCATCTGGTAATAACTTATTAAATAATCTTTATTGAGGAAGTTGAAATTGCTGGGACCTTTCTTACTACCACCACCACTATGACTACCCAAATCTAAACCAACCAACATTCTTACAGCAACCTGCTATTTGGCCTCTCTGCTTCCACTCCTGCCCACTTACAGTCTATTCTCCACACTGCAGCCAGAGAGAGCCTTTTAAATTGTCAGTCAGATTATATTGATTCTCTAGGCCCAGTACCTTAAAGTGGCTCCATCACACTTCGCATAAAATCCAAGCTACTTAAAGACCCTACATGATGTGTTTCCAATCTTTTCGTTGCTTAATCTCTGTTCCAACCATGTTTGTTGGCCTTTTTTGCTGTTTCTTAAGCTCTTCCAGCATGTTCCTACCTCAAGGCCTTTGCATTACCCATTTCCTCTGCTTGGAATTCTCTTCCCCTAATATCTGGATGATTTCATTTTATTCAGGTATATTCCCAAATGTCCTCACCTTGGGGGGTTCTTCCCTGACCACCTCTCTTAAATAGTGGGGTCTGCCACTCTGGGTTTTGTTTTTTAAGCACTATCACTGCCCGCTATATTACATGCTTGTGTGTTGTCCGTCTTCATCCCCTAGAATGTAAACTTCACAAAGGCAGGGATTTTGTCTGTTTTGTTTTCTGCTGTAACCCCAGCACCTAGAATAGTGCTTGGCGTATGGTAGGTGCTTGATATTTATTGAGTGAGAGAATGAAGAACATAAACTATTGTTGTCTTTTGGTTCTTGGTTGTTCCTACCCATTTCTTATTGGAAAAGGTGATAGAAAATGTTTTCCAGCCCCTAGTAGGATGTACCCACTTTACCAAAGATTCTATAAGCTTGCCTATACTCTTAGCTGAAAAATAGTCTTCCTCTCTTGGGAAAGATTGTCCTTTTTAAACCCCTTTGCAGCTTTAGAGGAATGAATCTGTTCCTGGAATGATGGGGGAGGGAAGCCACCCACCTAGCTAGGAGATTAATGGAATCAACCCTGTTCATCAAAGGTGTGTTAGCTGTGGCAGCCAGATCACCCTCACACCAAACTCTGCCTTACTAGAGGTAAACTTCATTGGTTTGAAGTTCCCAAGGGGTCATTGGAGTACTTTTGATGGAGGCTGTTGAGGCAGGCATTTACTGGACCATTAGACTAGTGATTCTCATACTTTAATGTACATGTCAGTCACCTGGATGTCATATTAAAAGCCTATATTCTGATTCAGTACATCTGGGGTAGAGCCTATTTCTGCATTTCTAACAAGCTCTAGATGACACTGATACTGCTGATCTGTGGACCTCGCTTGGTAGATCTTCTGTTACTAGAACAGTATGGCCTGTGATCCTTGAATTTTTCTCAAAGGTTTGATTATTTTTAAACTTTGAGTAGAAGATTTTCAATGTTGTCTGCCTTCAAGTTACCACTTTTCTTTCTTTAACTTCATGTTCATTCAAAGAAGAGTAAAACAACTTAGATTCGAGCACAGCAGAGTGAAGAGAATGAGCTGTGCATGGATAGAACTGGACTCAAAAAGGGAGGGTGTATTCCAGTTCTTAGAGAAGGTTCTGTGGAAGAGATAAGCCCTAAGACATGCAGAAAAAGAAAGAACCACCTGAAGAACAGTTGGGAGGAAATTTCAAAGCAGGACTCCGTGGGAAAGATAGAAATCAAGAAAAAAAGCCTTTGGACGTAGTTACCAACAGTTACTTAGTTACTTGCGGACTTTAACCTCAGCAAAGGAGTGGAGTGGACCCTGTAGTGAGAGAATGAATTAGGAGATGAGAGCAAGAAGCAGCTCTCACAGCGCACTGCAGAATGTTGGACCACCCGAGGGTGGGTCAAGCTGGGATCTAAGAGCAAGAGAGCTTTTTCCAATACCTAAGCAACCACTAGAAAGAGCCAAGTGAGATGGATCACTTGTATGATAGAAGGCAAAGGAAAAGCAAAAAGACTGACAAAGCAAGAAGTTATTGGAATAAAGGGAGGAAGGAGAAAGTGGTTAGAGTTGGGGATGTGGGCAGGCAGAGGGAAGACTAAGAATTTTTTTTAGGAATTTATTCTAAGAAAATAAATCAAAAGTAGGGGTGAAGCTCTATGTATAAAGATATTCCTTTCCTCATAAACAATAATAAATGGAAATGAAAAGAATATAAAGATTTAAACATGAAGAGGTAGTTACACAAATTATGGTGTGTGGTTTGGAAACCTGAACCATGCTATCCCATTACAATGTGTAAGTTTGAATGCTCACATAGCACATCAACAAAGTTTATGAGCTGATGTATGGGGTGGGGAAGCAGAATGCACAGTGTCTTTGCCTAATTTCAATAAAAATCTATGGGTTTTCTCAAAGAAGACCACATGAAAAAATTAAGCAAATTGTATTAGATGGTAGAATTATACATCTTTTTTATTTCTGGAATTTTCCTCTAATGCTCTATTTTTTAAGTATTATGAACTATATACCACACAAGAAACCGAGGGCTGTCACATTTTTTCTCTACAGCATCAGATTGTAAGTATTGTCAGCTTTGCAAGCTGTACAGCCTCTTTTACAACTACTCAACTCTGCTGTTGTAGCATGAAAGCAACCCTAGGTGATATGAACATAAACTGGCATGGCTGGGATCCAATGTAATATTGCTGGTGGACATGAAAATTTTATGGAATTTTCACATCTCATGAAATATTATTCTTTCATTTTTTTTCAACAATTAAAATATGTAAAAAACATTCTTAGCTAATAGGCCATACAAAAACAGAATTGGCTCAAATCTCAAATCTGGCAGTTTGCCAACCCCTAAAGAATGAAGAATAAATAACATATAAGAACAAGGTTAAGAAACAGAAAGCCTTATGATACAATTGACCCCTTTGCCCCTCCTCGATCCCCTTCCCATCCCTCTCTCCAGTGGAAGCCTCGATCCTAATTTATGTGCTCAACATTCTCATGCATGTTGTAGACTTTTATGACATATGTGTATACCCATAAACAACATGT